CGGGACTTGGGCTTCCAGGGACCTGCCGCAGGCCCTGTGCTTCGTTCACAGCACCTCCACCATCCATCGGCCCCTGCTGGGCCGCCTGTGGGCATTGCCGTCTGTCCATCCATCTGTCCGTGGTCAGAAGTGGGGTCAGAGTGTGACTGAGCTGGAGTATTTATGGAAATAAACGCCCTTTTTCCTGGGCCAGTTGTTTTGAGGTCCTTCTGAGCCTAAGGAAGATGGGGAAGAAGAGGGCCCTGGAGTCCAGGGGGCCTGGGCTGCCCTGGGGATCAGCCCCTCCACCCCCAGCCCGGAAGAGGCCCTGCTGGGGGCCTGCCGCTGGTGCTGAGTCACAGCCCCGCTGTGGTGGGCCCAGCAGTCCCAGCTGGAAGGGAGGCCGCTCTCCTGCCAGGAGCCCCAGCTGCCGCAGACTCCGCAGAGGGGGAGGCCCTGCCTTGCAACTTCCTCCTGCTGAGTGCAGCCCTCAAACGCCACGGAGGAGCTGCAACCCAGGGCCCTGCTCAGCTTCTGCATTTCCCAGAGGCGGCTCCCAGGAAGCAGCTTGCTTGGGGAGGGCCCGGCCCCCACTATCAGCAGTACCTCCAGGCACCCCATCTGTGTGTGTGCAGACCCATGAGGTCAGAGCCCAAGGCAGTGCAGGGGGGCGAGCTGTGTTCTGTGCGTCAGCCCCCTCTGCTGCTCTGCGCACAGGGGTCCCTTGCCAGGGAGCTTCAGGGGGATGTTGCCAGAGATCCCCTCACACATGAGCTCCTGAAGGGTCCTGAGAAGACCCGCTTCCTCATCTCCAGTGTTCCAACCTGAAACCCCTTCCATAGATAGTGGTGGGGTGTGCTTCTCAGTATGCCTAGGGCCTAGCACCCCAGCTCCCAGCTCTGTTCCCCTCTTCATCCCCTGCGCAGGCCCACCCATGAGTGCGGGGTGGAAGGCGGGCTGGTGCCCTCCCACACCCTGGTGCCCGCCCCTCATGGGACTTCTGCTTGTGTCTTCTTGAAGCAGCAGGGCCTGGGCGGCATCACCGAATGGGAGTTACTTCCCTGGAGCATCCGCCTGGGCTCCCAGAATGCCCTCAAGGGCCCAACTGCTGGTGGTCTGGGCATTGTAGGGCTGTGGGGGCCTTGCACAGTGGGGAGCTGGGGTTTGGGGTGTGGTCTGCAGTGTGACTGCACAGGGGGCCTCCCTCTCCAGTCTCCCAGTCTCGGGTCCCTGCTGAGGGAAGGCCCTTGTGGAAGTCCTTGAGCACATGAGCGGGTCCCCTAGGCTGTCAACTTTGGGGGGATTGAGGGTATTACAGGGTGAGGACTCTAACCATGTGGACCATTCACCTCCATCGGGTCCCCTGTCCATCCACTAAAATGCTCTTCTGCCTTCCATGTACTTGAGCGACCCATGCCAGGCACCGCCCTGTCCTCAGGACACAGGTGTGCTGGGGGCAGCTGCCAGGTGCCACGGGCGCTGGGACTCCTCCCAGAGAGCTGGCTCAGCCTCCACTCCCAGAGGAGCCAGTCCCCCAAAAGTATGACATTGACATAGGAATGAGGTGCAACCCAACGCCCTCTGGCATCCTCATAGCGGGACAGGGTGCCAGGGGAAGCTGCCTGCCCTGTCTTTTTAGGAGGGCGGCCCCCAGCAGCCCAGGAGCAGAGGGACTTCCCAGATACTGAAGCCACACTTCCACTTCTACTCAGCCTGAGGCGGCAGTTAATTTTGGTTTCTGCAGCCACAGTGCATTAGAGGGACGTCTGCTACCATCAGCTAGAAGGGGCTGACCCGATCTGTGGGCCTCCCCTGCAGACTCAGCACAGCCAGTCAACTCAGGGCTCTTGGCGCAGCCTGGTGCACCCTCCTCAAAGCCTCTCCCCTGGTCCTTATAACCAAATGGGAAACTGAGGCTCAGAGTGCCCGAGGCATTGAGGCCCAGGGCCAGCCTCTCTCCACCTGCTGCCCTGTGAAGGCCCTCCCTCCTCAGCCCTTCACTGAGCCGGGCTGGCCGCTCCCTCCGGGTCACCAGGAGTGCAGGAAGGTCCTCGTGCCGAGGCCTCACCCACAGTTTTATGGGAGAGCCTTTGGCTTGGGAAGGGAATATGAGGCCAAGAAATCACACCCCGTGCCCAGCAGCTCCAGACAAAGCCTCCCCTTGGAGGGCAGTGCCCACAGGCCACGAACAAGCAGTCTGTCAGGATCCAGGTCTGCCCAGTCTTGCAGCCTGTGTCTGACCTCTGAGAAGGCGCCCTGCCCAGTCCCCGAGTCGCTGTGCCCACATCCTGTTCAAGCTTCTCCAGCATGCTACCAGACTGTCAGTCATCTGCAGAAAAATCTCTACCAAGGCGGCTGGCCCCTCGAGGGGCTGGGGTGCAGGGGGTGGCATTGGTCCTGGGCAGTGCACCAGCATGGCAGGAGACCGAGTGTGGGCCTCTCAGCCCTGCTTCCTAGTCACAACCTGCTACGGGCTTTGGGCCCGGGAGCTCCAGTCTACTCACCTGTAAAATGGGACAGTACCAACCTCACTGGAGGAATCCCACTACAGTAAACCCTTTTATCCCAAGACAGCTGGACTAATTCAGGGGCGGACTGAGGCAGGAGTTAGGGTAAAGAAAGGAACCTTTTTGTTCCTGACTTCCTGGGGGATTAAACAGGAAACCATACCAGGCATAGTTCTAAGCATTTCACACATAGCAATTTAATCTTTAAACACCGTGGTATCAACAGCCAAGAAATCAAAAGACAAACTGCATTGGGGGGAAATGTGCTGTCAAAGTGCTGAAGAGCAATGATGTCAGTTTAAAGCCTAAGGTGCACCTGGTCCAAGCCATGATCTTTTCAATTACTTGATATGCATCTGAAAGTTGAGCAATGAATAAAGATGATGGAAGAAGAATCTATGCTTTTTAGTTGTGGTATTAAGAGTACTGAGTATCCCATGAACTGCCAGAAGAACAAGCAGACAGGTCTTGAAGGAAGTGTGACCAGGGTGTCCCTTAAAGGCAAAGATTGTGAAGCATCATCTCATATACTTTGGCTATTTTGTTTGGAGGGACTAATCTTTGGACAAAGATACTATGCTTAGAAAGGCAGAGTCAGTGTTAAGAGGGGAAGACCCTCAACAAGATGGACTGGCAAAGTGACTGTAACAATGGGTTCAAGTAATTTGCTCGGCTCCACAATCAATGCTCTTGGCACCAGCAGCCAGGAGATTAAAAGATGTATTGCATTGAGAAAGTCTGCTTTCAGAGACCTTTCCAGAGCACTGAAGAGCAATAATGTCAGTCTAGAAACTGAGGTGTGCCTGATCCAGGCCATGGTCTTTGCAATCACTTGCTATGTATCAGAGAGTTGGATAATGACTAGGGACGATAGAAGGAGGATTGATGCCTTTGAGCTGTGGTGCTGGAGAAGAGTATTGAGTGTACCATGGACTGCTAAGAAAATGAACAGGTTCAGCCTTGAGAGGGTGAAACCAGGCTGCTCCTTGGAGGCAAGGATTCTGAAGCTTTGTCTGACATACTTTGGACATGTTGCAAGGAGGGACATCATGCTTGGATGGTGGAGGGACGGTGCAGGAGAGGAAGACCCTTGATGAGATGGATTGATTCAGTGACTCGGGTAAAGGGGGTAAGTGTGTCAGAAACAATAAGATTGGCATGAGACAGATGAAGGGCTTTTTTTAAATATTATTTTTTGAGTGTGTACTGTCAAATCAGATCTGACTAGTACAGGAGATCGCCCCTCCTTCTCCAGCAGAGCATCTGGTGGATTTGAACCATGTGCTTCTGGGGTCGCAGTGCAAGCTTCTTGCCACTAGGCCAGCAGAGCTCCCTTAGAGCAGGGATTAGGGCTGTTGTACATAGGGTCGCTATGAGTCGCAGGTGACTCAACGGCATATAACAACAATACCAGAGAGGATGGGGTTGGCACAGGATAGGGCAGGGTTCAGTGCATTGTTCCTGAGGTATCGCTGATGACTCGACGGCTTATAACAATCTTATCTTCCTGACAGCCCAGAGGTGAGCCATTCCCTGTTGAGTCAGTTCCAGCACCTCCTGACCTTATTTTGGTCGGTACAGAACTCTGTCCCCACGGGCTTCTCAAAAGATGGGTTTTTTTGTTTTTGTCTTTTTAGCAGTCGCTCAACAGCCCTTTGACCTGAGGGGCCCGAGTGGATGTGAAGCACAGTAACTGCACCACTAACCGCGGGTGTCACCTATCATTCCATCTTGTAGAGGAGACGCCTGAGGCTTAGAGAAGGGAGCTGTCTCGTCTGTGGTCACCCAGCCAGGAAAGGCCAGGCCAGGCTGCTGGTTCACCCCAGCCCTGATGCTCCGTTCTCACTGTCTTTGGAGTATCCGCTGATGTGAAGTCTCTTCCCTATCAGCTCAGCATGCTCAAGGAGCCCCTGTGAGCGCCGGCAGGAGGCCGCTCTGGTGGTGCCGTCCTTAGGGAGCCCGGCTGCCAATCCAAAAGCCATACCTCCCTGGCGGTTCGAATCCACCTGCAGCTCCGAGGAAGACGGGCAGTCTGTGCGTATTACTGCCGCCAAAACCCTAATGGTAAGAAGCTGTGCTGCAATCCCAAAGACACATGGTTCGAACCCATCAGCTGCTCCATGGGAGAAGGATGGGCAATCTCCTATAAATGTATTGCCTCTGAAAACTCACTCGATGGTCAGCTATAAACCAATTTTGACTCAATGGCTCATAACAACAGCAATAAAACCCCACCAGAAAGGCAGCTATGAGTCAGTTCCTACTGAATGACAATGACCCTGGAGAACTGGGCATTAGCCAGAGAAGGCCAGGCCCTCCAGGAGCCAGCTCAGGTTGTTGGAGACCGGCCCCAGTCAAGAGATCCTTAAAATCCATTACAATTTTCCCCTGGTGATGAGGGGAAGGGGCCGAGGGGCTGGCTGCCCACCTCTGAGGACCCCCTTCTGCAGCTGTAGTTCTGAGGAGTCGCCCGTTCCAGCCGACACTGATAGAAACTTGTGAGTCCCAAAGTCTCCAATGACAACATCTTTCGAAGGCTCAGTCAATGACCCAATCTTCAAGCCTTCCAACCTTCTATGATTCAGCATCCTCAGTGTGACAAGGGAGGGCCTAAAATACACGCATCACCCGGCCAAGAGGCCCAGCAGCCGCACCCAAGCCAGATCCAGACGAGCCAGCCACCTTTGCTGCCCAGGCCCTGCATCTGCCTGGAGCCTGGAGCCCAGGTGGGCCTCGGTCTGCCTGGCAGGACGCTCAGGGCAAGGTTGGGACGCCAAGGGCGTAGGTGGCCTTGGAGCGTGGATCGGCCTGTATCCACAGTAGACGTGGATCGGCCTGTATCCACAGTAGACGGTCCTCTAGCTCACAAGGACCGACTGTTCCCTGGCCCAGGACCGCAGCTCGAGCCTAGACAGGCCTAGGAGGGACAGGGAGGCAGGCCTTGCCCTCAAGGATCTTCACGCCAGCTGAGGAAGCTGACAAGATCAGGCTGGAACAGGGTGGGGGCACCCATGTAGACATGAGACACCTATGTTCTCAGGGCCCTCACTGCACCTGGCCATAATAGGAGGAGGCCGCAATGAAAACCCACCAGCTATACCTGCTTAAGTGGGGTGTCCCGGTAGGGAGCCCACCTAACATCCTGCCCTCAAAACAGTGCCCTGTCTTCCCAAGAGCCCACTGGATGGGACATACACCCTTCCTCAGGAGAATGCACACTCCGCAGAGACACAAGCGTTCCTTCCGGGACTGAACTAAAAAGTCTAACAGAGAGAGATCTGGTGGCCTAGTGGCAAGAAGCTGCACTGCAATCCTGAAGGCATGTGGTTCAAATCCACCAGATGCTCTCTACTGGAGAAAGAGGGGCAATCTCTTCCTGTGCCAGTCGGATCTGATTCCATCGTACACAACAAAAAAGAGGGGACCCCAAAACTCTAACAGAGCAAAGTGCTGGGGACTTGGCAGAGGTGCCTGCCCAAAACAATCCACATGGGACCCCTGGTACCCTGGGGTGCAATGGGTCGGGGTAAGTAAGGAAAGCCTCTCTTCCCCCTCGGGCTCTCTCATCTTGTACCAGCATTCATGGAACACCTACTGTATACCTTTGGGTAGAGAGCCAAAAACATCAGGACTATTAAACTTGGGGGAGTTTAGAGCAGCACCCCAATGCCTTACATGAAGACAAGGCAGGGCCTAGAGGAAACTTAGAAGATACAAGTGGAGGGACCGGTCAGTGCCTAGGGCCGGAAGTGTCAGGGAACCACTGGGGTGTGGGGTGTGGGGTGTGGGGTGTGGGGCTGCGGCTGCCGGCTGCCGGGCTGCACGCACACCCCATACAGGAGCAGTGAGGGTCGGCTGGGTCTCCTGATCACTCCAGGATAACCAGAGCTGGACAACTGACCAGCCAGGTCATTAGAGCCTGAGTTCAGCCTTCCTAAGATTGTCCAGGGGCCACCCAGCAGAGAGTGGCCCCAGCAGGGATGTAGGATGACCCAGAGGCCCTTTGGGGACAGGAGTTTAGGCCCAGATGGGCCAGGCCAGGTCCTGCCTCAGCTGCGAACCCTCTTTCCCCTTTGGGGGTGCAAAGGTTATTTAAATTTAAGACCTGCAGGTAGGCGTGGCAGGAACCTGGGAGGCCCGGGGTGCGGTGGCGGCAGGAATGGCTTACCTGCTTCCCGCCACCAGGGCGAGGCGGGGCGGAAGGAGGAGTTGGACGCACAGACCTGCGGACGGGCCGGCGGAGGGCTGGACGCGCACTGTCGGGGGAGGCCGGCCGGCTCGTGGGGGGCCCCGGAAGCCGGGGGAGAGCGAGCAAACAAACTTGGCGAGAGGAGTGACCTGGGGGCCGGGGGCGGAGCCGCGGGCGGGGCGGGGAGCGCAGCGCGGCGGCGGCCCAGGAAGCGCAGCGCGCCGCCCACCCATCCGGGCCGATCGGCACTGCGGGCAGAGCAGGCTGGGCCGGGGGCTGCGGCGCCTCGACCCCCAGCCCGGCCCCAAGATGATGAAGAGGCAGCTGCATCGCATGCGGCAGCTGGCCCACACGGGCAGCCTGGGGCGGTGAGTGCCAGCGCCCCCGTCCCCGGGACCTGAGCGGGGGAGGCGCTGGGGGGGGACCCCGGGGTGGGGGGAGCTGAGGACATCTGGAGCAGCCACCCGCTGCCCGGCCGGAGCCCTGCCATCCTCCTCCACTCTCCAGCTCCCCGGCAGCGCTGGAGGGGCAGGCGGGAGACTTTGGGGGAGTCTGATTGGAGGGGGTGTAGGAGGACGAGCGCTCCAGCCAAGGGCGCTGGGGCGTTCAGCCTCAGGGAGCCTCTCGGCGGACCAGCCACCCTGGCCTCACTTATCCCCTCTGGTCAATGGGAACAGTTTAGCCGTGTCTGGTGGCCGGGTGGGGGATGGAGAGGAGGCGCAAAGGGCCAGGTCCTGGGGGAGGGGAGAAGCTGGGTCCTGGCCTGGTGGAGGAGGGGCCTGTCCCCAGCCCGCTGTGCCCCTGCGCCCTGCACCCCCAGTCCAGGGGCCCCTGGCTCCTCGGCTTGCTCTTGCTTCTCGACTCAGGTGGAAGCACTCCCAGGTCCCCTGCTCCTAACCCCAGCTCTGGTGCTGGGGAGCCAAGGCCGGAAGTTTGGGGAACACAGAGGGCCTGCCTCTCTCGCCTTCCCTCAGCGTGGTGGGGAGTTCCCCTTCTCTGGGTGTCCAGAGACCTGCTTCTGGCCTCCTGCCCGTGTGAACCTGGCAGCCTTGCTGCGGGCTTGCGTGTCCCATGTGTCACGTTCAGGGGGTGCTGAGGGCCTGTGGGTGCAGGCACAGGCCTGCGGGGCTGATAGGCCGGGAACCCAGGAATGGGCTGCAACACTTCCCGTTCTGGGGCCAGCCTGGGGCCCCGTCCTGGGACAAGCACAGGGAGGATTTGAGGGAGTGAGCAGAGCTGGGAGGTGGCTCCCCTGACCCCCCCCCCCCTTCAGTTTCAACAACCCTCTGTCAAGTCCTGGGTGGAGGAGGAAAAAGCCTTGTGTCCATGGAATGTGCTCCGACAGGGAAGAGGCAGACAGATGAACCACTAGGGCGGACCCCACCTGGGAGAGGCTCTGGAAGCAGCAAGTGGGGTCCCATGCTTTGCCAGGGGGAGACAGGGGAAGGTGGGGGGCCCTAGCCTGGGCCAGCTCAGCAGCGGCTCTCTCCCTCACAGCACCCCGGAGACTGCTGAGTTCCTGGGGGAGGACCTGCTGCAGGTACGTGTTCAGGCAGCGCCCTGTGAGAGCAGCTTTGAGCGCTGTGAGCCCAGGGGAGGCTGGGGCCAGGCGAGTCACCACCCACCCCCCCCCCGACTGGTGGCCCTGGGTTCCCAGGAGGAGAGAAGGGAAAGGCACAGTGGAGGGGTGGAAGGAGCCCCAGTGCCTTGTTCTGGGTTCTCCCTGGAAGGTTGGCAGTTCAAACCTACCCGGTGGTTCTGTAGCAGAAACGCCTGGCAGTGTGCACCTATCGGGGTTCCAGCCTAGAACACCCCAGGGGGGCAGTTCTGCTCATCACAGATGGGGTCCTTATGAGTAAAAAACAAACATGGCAAAACCATCAGTAAAGATGTGGGGTTAGGTCACCGCAGCTCTCAGAATTCATAGCCCCACCCCCGACACCCCACCCCAGGTGGAGCAGCGGCTGGAGCCGGCCAAGCGAGCAGCCCACAATGTCCACAAGCGGCTACAGGCCTGTCTGCAGGGCCAGAGCGGGGCGGACATGGACAAGCGGGTGGTAAGTGGCGGAGCCAGGGAGGAGGGTATCTCACTGGGCCACGTCCCTCTGTCCAGTGGGGAAACTGAATGAGGCTGGAGTCTCCTGCCAGGTGGAGCCCCTGGTCCTGGGTAGAGGCTGCTTCTCTCTCGTGCAACCCTGTCTCTCCCCTCTCCTCACCTTCCCCAAGCCCCTTCTTGACTCTCACCGTCTGCGTCAACCCCCATGAGCCAGGGCCGGGCCGCTGACAAGCACCTGAGCTCCTGTGTCTAGTCAAAGAGCTAGCTCTCTATATTGAGACAGCTGGGAGGGCTTCCTGGAGGAAGTGTACCATTTGCACTTGATTTTGAATATTAACCAAGACCCACTGCCATCAGATTGATTCCCATTCATGGCAATCCTCCCCCGTTCGGTGTCGTAAATCTTCATGGGAGCAGATAGCCACATTGCCCTTCCAAGGAGTGGCTGGTGGATTCAAACCACTGACCCTTCCAGTAACAGCCGAACATGGAATGCATTATGCTACCAGAACTCTCTAGATTTTTTTCAAGTGATAGTCACTAATATTAATCAATGGCTAGTATCTGCTGACCAATGGTCTTGGTCCTGGCAACAGCTCAGAAAAAAAAAGCTGCCTCTATTAGCCAGCTCTGTTTCATAGGTGAGGCTTCCAGTTCAAGTTACTTGCCCAAGGTCACGTAGCTAAGAAGTGGCAAAGCTGAGATCTGAGCCCTAAAAGCGAAGTTAATTCTAACTGTAGGCGGGACAGCGAGGGGCATATCCCACATCACTCCCCCGGGCTCAAGCCCTAGTGAGGGGAGAATTGAGGGGCAGGCAGTGAGTTTTGACCTCCGCTGTAGCCAGGTCAGCCACATATAGCTGAGACAGAGGGGAAAAGGCCCAAAGCCAGGTACCTTCTTCCTGCCTTCTCCATTCTTCCTCTGCTGTGTGACCTTAGAGAGCTCCCCACCCTCTCTGATCTGGGTCTGGACTGGACCTTGTTCATGCCTCTGTGTCCAGTTAATGGCTTCTGTGGGGGGGGGATGGGAGCCCCTAGGTGATACAGATGATTAACATGCTCAGTTACTAACTGATTGATTGGCAGTTTGAATACACCCAGAAGTGCGTCGGCAGAAAGGCATGGTGATCTACTCCCCCAAAGCAGCCACTGGAAACCCTGATGGCACACAGTTCTGCTGTGGCTCGCGTGGGTTTCTGTGAGTCAGACCAATGCAACAGCAACTGGGTTGTTCTGTTTGAGAAGAGGAAAGTGGACCCCAGGTGGCGGGGGCTTTGAACATTACCAGGAGACCTCATCCTCACCGTGCCTTGTTGCCATGCTGTTTCCACCCAACCCCCCCCCCCGTGACGCTGACCCCCCAGGCTCCCTTTCCCCTGTCCATGCGCAGTGCCTCGGTGGGGCTCTGTCTCTCAGGGGCTCTCTGGGTCCTCAGCAGGGTGGAGGGAGGCTTGATAGATACATGCGAGGGAGCTCAAATGCACACACACACACACACACACACACACACACACACTCTCTCATATTCATTCCGGCCCTGACCCTCCCCACCCTGCAGAAAAAGCTGCCCCTCATGGCTCTGTCCACCACCATGGCCGAGAGCTTCAAGGAGCTGGACCCCGACTCCAGCATGGGGTAAGCCCGGGGAGGGGTCCCACCCTCCATCTGGGAATCTCAAGGCAGGATCTGAACTAGGTGGGGGTTCAAATCAGCAAGTGCATCCAGGCTGAATGGGTGACCATGCTGGAGAGAGTGTCTTGGGGTGGGGGGACAGGGGGGCAGCTCAGTGAGACAAGAGGGGTGGGAAGCAGTGGGGAGGGGGTCTAGCATGTGTTGCAGGAGAGCTGAGGGCCCACTGGGTGCTGTGTCCTTCAGGAAGGCCTTAGAGATGAGCTGTGTCATCCAGAACCAGCTGGCCTGCATCGTGGCCGAGTTTGAGATGACCCTGGAGAAGGACGTCCTGCAGCCACTCAGCAGGCTGAGTGAGGTGACTTGCCCCCGGCCCACTCCCCCGTTTGCCCAGCCTCTAACTCCTGCCTCCCTAAGGCCCTGAGCCCTCCCTGCGCCTGCCTCCCCCAGGAAGAGCTGCCCGCCATCCTTAAGCACAAGAAGAGCCTGCAGAAGCTGGTGTCAGACTGGAACGCCCTCAAGAGCAGGTGGGAGTCACAGCCGCTGGTGGGGTTCCCACCCGGGACGGCTCGTCCCACCTCCCCCACCCACGCCAGGACAGTGTGCATGCGGCGCTCACGTGTTCGAGGGTACAGGCGAGAGTGCACACGTGCGTGTGTGTGTGTGTGTGTGTGTGTTTACACTAGCAGGTGCTGCGAGGCTAGCCCCCGTGTCAGGGATTGGCATCAGTCAACAGTGGCTGAAGCTGGGTGGTTGTGGGCACCAAGCCTGCCACGGGGGGTGTCCCAGAGTTTGTTTATTGTTGTTGTTATGTGCCATGGAGTCGCCTGCAACTCATAACGACCCTATGTACAACATCCCTAAACTCTGCCCTATCCTGTGCCAATCTCACCATCTCCCACACCCCTGTCCCCCCATTACCCCGGTCACTGAATCAATCCATCTTCTAGAGAGTCTTCCTCTCTTGCGCTGTCCCTCCACCCTCCCAAGCATGACGTGCTCTCCAAGGACTGGTCCCTCCTTGCAACACGTGCCTCTAAATCCCAGAGTCCAGTGTGTAGAGGACACGGGGCCCTGGACGTGGGGCCCCTGACACCCCACTTGGGGACTGTTCCCAGGCTTGGTCAGGCAGCCAAGAGCTCAGGTGGCGGTCAGGGCCTCGGAGGCGGACCGGGCAGTTACACCTCCACGGCCAACAAGATGGAGACGCTGAAGGAGGAGGAGGAAGAGCTGAAGAGGAAGGTGGAGCAGTGCAAGGTGAGGCCCTGGGGGCTGCTGGATTTAGGGGCGCAGGTAGGGCCTGCCCCCATCTTGCAGATGAGAAAACTGAAGCTCAAGTGGCAAGATCTTCCCGAGGCCACACAAGAGGTAGCACCGGGATCTGAACCCAGGCCATTGCACAGGAGGGTCCACGCCCTTAACGCGTTGCCGCACACTTTTTAAATTGACAACCATTCTTAGAAACACATTTGCCGTCATTTGCGACAATGTGTTAACTGTTGTTGTGTAGCCACTTCTGTCTGCACTTCACCTTGACAGTGATCCACTGGGGCCGCAGTGTATTTGCTGAGTGAATGAGTGTGTGGTGTTTGCTGCAGAAGTGGATAAATGAATGAAGGGTGAGCTGTGTAAGGCCCTCAGCTAAGGATGTGAACACGGCGGTGAGGACCAGAAGCAGTAGTTCTAGAGGGTTACTGTGGGCCGCCCCCAACTACTGACTTAGCAGAGAGGGGAGGCTCCATCTAGCTTGGGGAGGCCTCAGCCAGGCCTCCAGCCCCTCCAGGCCCCACAGTATAAGCCCACTCCCCTCTGTCCCAAGGATGAGTACTTGGCCGACCTGTACCACTTTGCCACCAAGGAGGACACCTACGCCAACTATTTCATCCACGTGAGTCTGATGGGAGTCATACAAAGCTCGGGGCAGGGTAGGAGGAAGAGGCCTACTGTCCTGGGCTCTGGGGGAGAAGGCTCGGCTTCCCTTACCTTCTGCTGGAGGTACCCCTGGTCCTCCACAGATCCTGGAGATCCAGGCTGAGTACCATCGCAAGTCCCTGAGCTCACTGGACACAGCCCTGGCCGAGCTGAGGGAGAACCACAGCCAGTCAGGTATGGACAGAGGCGGGACCACCTGGCACCCGCTCCGCCCTGCTCTGCACTTGGTGGGAAGCAGGTTCTTTTCCTGAGGGTTGTACGGAGCCATGGATGCTTTGAGCAGGAGAGGGCAGGTTAAGGTTGTATGAGAGAAGTTGCTTTGATTGCTTCATGGGGCTGGAAGAAAGGGGGCCAGAGACATGTTAGGAGGCAGACGGGTGGTGACAGAGGCCTAGACGAGGGTGGTCACAGTGGAGGGGCAGATCTGAGCTCTACAGGAAGATTGCAGGATGTGAAGCCAGAATGACTGGGTGGGCAGTGGGTCATTGGCCAAAGCAGAAACCCCTTGAGTCACTTGGGGTCCCCTTGTCTGCTCTGGCCTGGCTCCTTGGGGGAGGGGCTTGGAGGACCCTGGGCCGCTGATCTGTCTCGTCCCTGCAGACCCCTCCCCCTCGATGACGGCCGCCCCCTTCTCCAGGGTGTATGGGGTGTCGCTGGGGACCCACCTGCAGGAGCTGGGCCGGGACATCGCCCTGCCCATCGAGGCCTGCGTCATGATGCTGCTTTCTGAGGGCATGAAGGAAGAGGTGGGGCCTGCTTGGAGCAGCTGGGGGATGTGGGGACCCTTGTTCCACCCTGGGGGTATCATCCCACCATTAGAGACAGGACCTGGGGGAGCCTGACCTCCTGCTGCTGAATCCAACTCCTTTCCCTTTAATGAGGAGTCTGTGGTCGGCTACTAGCCAAGAGGGTGGCAATTTGCATCCTTGCTGAGGTGCCTCAAAAGAAAGGCCTGGCAATCTACTTCCAAAAGTTCACAGCCTCTGGAGCAGGTCTTCTTTGACACCCATACAGTCCCCAGAGGTTGGCATCAACCTGATGGCCACTGATTTCTTTCTTCAGGGTGCCCTTGGCTGCAGGCACCTGCCCTATGCCCTTGGCATTTCTTGTTCCACCTAGTTGCCTCAGAGACGACAGAGCGAGCCCTCTTTGTCTCTGTTTGACAAGGAGGAGACAAGCCAAGAGGTAAATGTACCCAGAGTCGTGAGAGGAGGTGGCCTTGCAACCATTGTCCCCAGAAGTCAGTCTCTTCGCGTCCTGGTGGTGGTGTTACGTCTGAATTTGTCCTGGGAGCTGAACTCTGTCTTAGTCCCCCATGCTGCTAGCACAGAAGCAGTTTAATTAACAAGAGGATATATTTTCTCATCGTTTGGAAGGTTGAACATTGAAATTCAGGGCTCAGGGAGCAGCTTCCTCCCACCGGCAGCTCTCCAGCAGGGTCTTTATGTCTTCAGCTTCCGCTTGCTGATTCTTTGGAAATCTTCGCATGGCATGGCATCTGTCTTTCCCCAGCTTGCTTGTTTCATCTCTTATATTTCAAAAGAAGTCAGATGCCAACCCACCATACGAATAATATCACATTAATGCAAAGAGCTGCTACGCCCAAGTGGAGTTAGAAGGGTTAGGAGTGGAAACACATACTCTGGTCGGGAGTCAACTCTGACAGCGACTATCAACTCTGACAGTTGACTATCAAGTCAACTCTGACAGCGACCCTGTGGATGGCAGAGCGGCACCCTGCCCTCCCTGCACCGTCCTCCTGATCTGTCATGCACGAGGCCGCCGTGATAGCCACCGTGTTGATCTATCTTGTTGTGGGTCTGGTCCTCTGTTTCTCTGACCTTCCACCATTCCCAGTATGATCTCTCTCCAAGAGCTAGTTCCTCCTGAGAATCTAACCAGAGTCAGTGAAATGAAGTCTCACCATCCTTGCCTCTAAGAAGCGTCCTAGTTCCACTTCTGTCAGATTTGTCTGTTGTCCTGGCAATCCACGGGCTAGCCAACATTCTTCACCAGCACCAAAGCTCAAAGGCATGGATTCTTTTTCCATTGTCTTTAGTCAATGTCTTTATGCTTCAGAAACAATTGGAAATACTGTGGCTTGGATCAGTGTACCTTAGTCTTTAACATGACATCCTTGCTCTTTTTAAAAAAAAATCACAATTTTTTTATTTTATGTGTGTCTGTCGACGGTCAAATCAGATCTGACTGGTACAGGAGGCCCCTCCTTCTCTAGCAGAGCATCTGGTGGATTTGAACCTAGTACCTCTGGGATTGCAGTGCAGCTTTTTGCCACTAGGCCACCAGATTTCCCTCCTTGTTCTTTAGAACTTTGGAGAAGTCCTTGATAGCAGATTTCTCAGTGCAGCACATCTTTTCTGTTGTTGTTGGTTTGTTTTAAATTTTTATTTTATATCGGTTTGCTTACAAAGTATACATTGTGTTTCATACTATCCTTCATTCACATTGTTTCCTACAATCATTCTCATTCATTATGTTTATAAAATTAATCACTATTTATTTGTTTTGTGTGTGTGTGTGTGTGTGTGTGTGTGTGTGTATCATCAAATTGGATCTGACTGGTATAGGAGGAGATTGCCCCTCCTTCTCCAGCAAAGCATCTGGTGGATTCGAACCATGTACCTCTGGGATTGTAGTGCAGCTTCTTGCCACTAGGCCACCAGAGCTCCCTTAAAATTAATCACTATTGAACTGTGCCCACCATTGCCCTGTCTTTTCCAGATCCCCGCTGGATCGTTTCTATTTCCTTGACCCACCCCTCTCCCTCCACCCACAAAACTGTGTGACCCTGTGATTTCCCCCCTGCCCATCCTCACCCCTCTGCTCCCACCCACCCCATCTTGGATCCTCATTTTACTAGGTATTTTTCTATTTCTACAGTAATGGTCTTATGCATTGTTTGTCCTTATGAGAGAGTTAGTTCCCTCAGCATCATTCTCTCCATTCCCTCCCAAGTTACATAGTAATGTGTAAATCATTGTTCTTGAGAGCTGCGTAGTATTTAATTATGTGAATGTACCACAATTTCGCAATACATTGGATTGTGGTTGGACATTTGGGCTGTTTCCTTTTTCTTGCAATGGTGAATAATGCCGCTATGAATATTGGCGTACAAATCTTGGTTTGTGTCTCAGTTCTAATTTTCTTTGAGTATATTCCTAGGAGTGAAATCGCTGGGTCATATGGAATTTCAGTGTTCTGCTTCTTGAGGAAGCGCCAAACTGCCTTCCAGAGTGATTGTACCATTTTACAGTCCCACCAACAGGCAACATGTCTTTTGATTTCTTGTCTGCCGCTATCATGGGTGTTGATTGTGGATCCAAGTAAAATGAAATCATTGACACTTTAGTCTTTTCTCCAGCTTTCGTGATGTTGCCCCTTGGCCCAGTGGCGAGGACTGTTGTTTTCTTGATGTGTTGAAGGCTGTAGTCTTTGCTCTTCCCCGGTAAGCGTTCAGGTCCTCACTTCCTGCAGGCAAGGTTGTGTCTGTTACGTAACAGTGGTTATTGATGAGTCCTCTGATGCAGATGCCATATTGATCTTCACAGAATCCACCTTCTTGAATGATCTGTTCAGCATACAGATTAAATAGGTATGGAGAAACGGATACAACCCCGGAGCACACCTACTTAAGCATATACTTCAGGGGGACGCTGTTCAACCATGTCAGACCTCAAGCCCCTTAAGCCCTTCAAGTCTACCCTGATTCAACTGAACCCATGTACATTAGAGAACTCACTCTGGAGGGTTTCCAGTGGCTGGTTCTTCACAAGTGATCACCAGGACTTGATCCCTTGGGCCTTTGGGTGGAATTGAACCACCGACCTCTTAATCAATAGCTATTGAGACTGCCTAGGAAGACTCTGAGGATGGCCCGCTCAGCCCACAGATTAGAAGCAGACTACCGCAGCCCTCACCCCAAAAAGCAGCTGGTCAGTTCAGACTGCTGATCTTGAGGTTAGAGCCAGGTTTTTGTTGTTGTTGTTGTTGTTGTATACCGTTGAATTGGATCTGAGTGGCACAGGAGGAGATTGCCCCTCCTTCTCCAGCAGAGTGTCTGGTGGATTCGAGCCACTTACCTTTGGGATTGCAGTGCAGCTTCTTACCACTAGGCCACCAGAGCTCACTTAAAGATTTGTACCTTTTTTTTGGTTTCTTTTTCAGCCAAGTGTATTAACCATTATCCCACCAAGGCTCCTTTAAGGATGGATCCTCTGGGAAGCCAGTAATACTCGGAGGACGACTTAGGCCTCTCTCGAGCCCGCTTCCCCAGCTCCTCCTAGACATCCCAGAGCCTGCCTTTGCTCCGGGTTCTCGACCTTGAGATTGAAGGATCCTCTGGGGGGGGGGGCGCTGAGGACCAGCAGTCCCCCCAGACCATAAGCACATGAGGGCCTGGCAGCCAGCTTACCCTCACAGCACCCCCACTCCGCTCCCCTTCCTTACAGGGCCTCTTCCGCCTGGCCCCCGGGGCCTCCGTGCTGAAGCGTCTGAAGCAGACGATGGCGCAGGACCCCAGCAGCCTGGAGGAGTTCTGCTCTGACCACCACGCTGTCGCAGGTGCCGGTCACTGGAGCCCGGGGAGGGTGGCGGTGGCACGTCCTTCCCTGTGGCTGCCCATAATGATGCCAAGAACCTGGCTGACAGCCTGGTGTTCTGTTGAAAAGTTGCCTGAGGGGGCATGAAGGTTCTTTTTTGACATGGGCTCCATAACCCCCAGTTAGTTCTTAATGTAGGTTCCATGATGGGCTGTTGACATTATTTATAAATGGTGTGTGCCCATTTATCTGGCAACAGTGTCCATGCACAGAGAGGATTATGGCCCCAGGAAACCATCAGCCCTAGACAGTTTAGTGTAAACAACGGCTGGAGGTAGAGAAAGCTGGGGACCAGGGATGGACGGGGTGAAGGACTAGGGATGGTCTCTGATCACCTCCTCCTCTTCAGGTGCCCTCAAGTCCTATCTGAGGGAGCTGCCTGAGCCCCTGATGACCTTTGAACTCTACGATGATTGGATGAAGGCAGCCAGGTGAAGAAGATGAGGACAAGGAGGGCTGGGGAGGAGGAGGCTGCCGGGTTGGGGGAGGGGGAAGATAACTGTAGGTTTGGCTCACCAGCTGTCCCTCCGTCCTCAGCCTGAAGGAGCCGGGAGCCCGGCTGGAGGGCCTCCGAGAGGTGTGCAGATGCCTGCCCCGTGAGAACCTCAACAACCTCAGGTGAGTGGCCCCCACCAGCTCGCCCCTCCGCCACAGCCAGAGACCAGTGGAGACTGGGTTTGCATCCTGCTCTTTGCTCTGGGACTGTGTCTCTTAGCGCCCAGGTATAAGACAGGGCAGGAGGCCCCAGATTTCTGCTATTTCCACAGTCCTGTTTTTACAGTCATTTTTTGGCATTTTAAAACATTGTTTAAATGGCCTCGCTCTTTTAATCAAACGTTTGTCACATCCTGAAAAATCACCTCTGATATACTTCTTGTTGTGTGCCATCAAGTCAGAACCGACCCATCGCTGACCCTCGGAGGGTTTCAGAGGCAGTAAACTACACGGGAGGAGACTGCCCGTCCTTCTCCCTTCAGAACAGCCAGCGGGTTTGAACCACGTGCCTTTGGCATTGCAGCACAGCTTCTTTCCACTGGGCCACCAGAGCTCCCCCTTGAAATGCCAGTTGTAGCTTTTGATACTGGACATTGAACTCAGCACGCCCCTTTGAGCCCTTGAAGCCAGAACTGCCCCTGTGAGCAGGCAGGCAACTTAACCTCTGAGCCACAGCGTTCACATCTGGAAGCCGTGGGTCGGAAGAGTCCCTGTCCCCTCTGTGGCTGGAGGATTCGCAGCGTGGCTCGCCACCTGTGTGTAGTTAACACTCAATAGACCTGCTGAGTTAACTCTTAAATATCCACCAGCCGTCCTACGTGGGCCCTTCCAGCAGTGTCTTCCTTGCCCTGGAATTCTCTGACTGACTGGAAAATTCTCAGACCTCTTGTACGTTCATGGTCCAAGATGCTGTGATGCTGACCCAGGTCCACCCCCGCCCCCAGGTACCTGATGAAGTTCCTGGCCCGCCTGGCCGAGGAGCAGGAGGTGAACAAGATGACTCCCAGCAACATCGCCATCGTCCTGGGGCCCAACTTGCTGTGGCCGCCGGAGAAAGAAGGGTGAGTAAGGGACCCCAGTGGAAGAAGCCAGTGGAGAAGGGCAGGGGCCCCACCCCAAGCTCCTCATACTCTTTGTTCCCTTGGCCTCAGTTTCCCCAGCAACTCCATTCTCTAGGCTGGTCTTTGGAGACAGGCATCCTGGGCAGTAGCAGTCCTGGGGTGCTGAGGGCCTGGGAGCCCCAAGGTGTAGTTCTAGTTCTCCGTTCCACCCTATGGAAATGTTCCTGGGAGAAGTCACTCTTTGAACCTCCTCTGTAAAACTGGGAGCAAATAACAAGCTTTGAGGGTGTGAACTTTGAGGACTAGGTGAGAAAATGGATCAGAAAATAGCAGTGGTGTGTGAAAAGTCAGTTTACATCTGACCAGGGAGCTCTGGTGGCCTATGGGTAAAGAAGGTGTGCTGCCAACTCAAAGGCATATAGTTCGAATCCACAATCATCTCTATAAGAGAAAGGTGGGCCAAAACAACTATGAGATATCATCTCACCCCAGTCAGAATAGCAAAATTTAACAGAACAGCAAGCAACAAATGCTGACGAGGTTGTGGAGAAACTGGAACCCTTATTCACTGTTGGTGGGAGTGTAAAATGGCGCAACCACTGTGGAAGGCGGTATGGTGCTTTCTCAAAAAGTTGCAAATAGTGACACCATTTGACGCAGCCGTTCCACTACTGGGAATATACCCAAAAGAAACCATAACTGACATCCAAGCAGATATATGCACACCCATGTTTATCGTGGCTCTGTTCACAATAGCAAGGAGTTGGAAACAACCTAAGTACCCATCAACAAATGAATGGATAGAGAAGCTGTGGTATATTCACACAATGGAATACTACACTGCATTGAAAAACAAGGACCTCATGCAATATTATTCAAAATGGGTGACCCTGGAGGACATTATGCTGAGTGAAATATCTCAGTAACAAAAGCACAAATACTGCATGGTGCCACTGTTGTAAAACAGGACTGACATTGGGGTTGGGGAGAGACTGAGAAAGATTGGTTCAATAATGTATGCTGCATTGAAACAGATGAGGGAGAAAACTGTTTAAAAGGGATATGTGATTAGGTATTTTTGTAACAACAAGAGTCCAGAGCGAAGGCTGCATAGTAGAGTGGACCTGGGGGGAGGGTTTGTAAAACAATGAAAGAATTTGTCTTTTACTTTTCCAAGAGGGTAGTGTACTAGGGGGAGGGTTAGGAGGGGAGAAAAGTGCAACAATGAATGAGTGGAAATATAAAAAAAGAGAGAGAGAGAGAAAGATGGGCAATCTGTCAGGCCACTTACAGTCTCTGAAAACTCACTGGAGGGTCAGCTATGAGTTGATTCTAACTCAACAGGAGTTGAGTTGATGGATGGCAAAAACTTCATCGCATGTGTTCAGTGTGATTGATTGGAAGGGGCTGCCCAGAGCTGAGAAGGGTGCCATGATTGACTAGTGATGCCTGCCGTGGGTAACAGAAGGGGCTGATGTACACGTGTGCAGCCCACTGGCTTCAGCTGTGGTCTGTGAGCTTTTAGAGAACAGGATATTTGTGGGACTCAACCCACAATTGTGTCTCCAGTGTCCATCACAGGACCAGAAGGAGAGTTAAGATCACCACAAGTATGCTAAATGGATACTTCCTTTTCACTTTTGTCCCAGGGACCAGGCTCAGCTGGATGCAGCCTCCGTGTCTTCTATCCAGGTCGTAGGCGTGGTGGAGGCTCTCATACAGAATGCAGACACCCTCTTCCCAGAAGGTAAAGCTCCTGGCTTTGTGAATGGCCAGGCCCTGCCCTCCCTCTGCCCACTCCAGATCTCTGTAAACCCGGGTGTAGTGCCTGGCAGCCCCAGGAACTCTCCTGAGGCTCGGAGGAGGTTGCTTCTCCTCCCCTCTGTCTCAGCCTCAGTTTTTCATCTGTAAAATGGGACTGCTGCCACCTGCTTTGTGAGGTTGTTGAAGGGAGCATGAGTGTGTGGGAAGGAAAACATGTGGCCTGCATCATTTCTGGGAAAAGGGATTGTGGCCTTGCTACAGGGTGAGGTGGAAGGCTGGTGAAGGTTCTAGAAATTAAAGTGTGCTGCTCCCTCCTGTCTCTAGACATTAACTTCAACATGTCAGGCCTGTTCTCAGGCCTTGACCTCCAAGACAAGCTGGGCAACAGGCCAGCCTCTGAGGAGCTTCCAGCCTCTGCTGTGTCCACTCCGGCCACCACCCCAGCTCTGGTTCCAGCCACAGCCCCAGTCCCAGCCCCGGCCTCGGTCGCTACCAAGGAAAGGTGAGAACTGAGGGATGTGAATGACCCCACACTGGCCCCCTAGACCTCAAGTCTGAGGCACTGTCTCTCAGCACCGACAGTTGCATTTTGGGAAATGTAACTATTGGCATAATTATCCCAAAGACTGAGTTTTCTGGTAGAGTGGCTGCTCAGAGGTTGGTATTCCTCTCAGCCTCTGACTTGTTCACTCACTTGTTGAAAGACTGTTTAATGAGCACCTACTATGTGCCAGGTGCTTCCACACACACACCCTGGCGCCCCCTGCTGCTTGGATTTGAGAAAACAAGGGGCTTTTTTTCCTAGGATTTGAAAATGCCTTCTAGTCTTTTGTTTAGTCTTTTAAATCCAAAAGGAAGGACTATGTTGTTAGCTTCATGGCTGCCTGCAGGTGCCCAAATCACGAATTTCCTCAGATGAGGGAGAGAGACAAATTCTGCCCTGAGAACTTGCTTTCCAGGTGGTAGGGAGATGGATAAGAAACAAATACACTTATAAACGTGTAGTGCAAAGTCAGAGGGTAAAGAAAGTTCTACACGAAAATGAAGCTGGGGAAGTGGATAGGCAGAAAACTACATCGTTGTGGGGTCAGGAGCAACCCCCTTGAGGAGGTACAACCTGGAGGACGCGAGGGATGCATGGTCATGTGGACGCACTTCTGCTTCTCTTCAGCCAGGGGCTGAGGGAGACAGGAGGCCCTGTTGTCTACTTCCCATCTCAGCCTCAGCTGCTAGGCAAGTGGGGTGCCACAGAGGACCTGGAGACGCTCTCAGGGTCACATAGTGACATGTGGGTTCTGTGAACACAAATTCTGACGCGTGCCGGAAGACCAAGCCTGGGGACCGAGCCACAGGGCAGTGGGGAACATGTGCTCAGAGGACGTAGCCTCTGTCTGGGGACCCATACAAAATGGCCAGTCCGATCCTAACCTGACCTTTCCCCCAACTCCCTCAGCAGGGCAGAGTCCGAGGCACCCCCCAGACCAGCCTCCCCCAAAGTCAGCAGGAACGCCCCAGAAGCAGCTGCCCCAGCAGAGGATGTCACTCGGAAAGGTGAGCTGGCTGTAGGAGGAGCTGGGGAGACAGAAGGTGGGCAGTTCCGGGTCACCCCATTTTTCCAGCCCACACAGGGCAGCCAGAGCACTCTTTGGAGGCAAGAATGATGAGGCTTCACTTCTCATACTGTGTGTGTGTGTGTGTGTGTGTGTGTGTGTGTGTACGTGTGTACACCATCAAATCAGATCTGAGTGGTACAGAAGGAGATTGTCCCTCCTTCTCCAGCGGAGCATCTGGTGGATTCAAACCGCCACCTTTGGGATTACAGTGCAGCTTCTTGCCACTATACTACCAGAGCTCACCCCGATTCTCATACTTTGGACATGTTACTGGGCCGGTCTATTCCTTGGAGAGGGACATGATGTTGGGAAGGGTGGAGGGTTGGCAAAAGAGAGGAAGACCCTCAACAAGGCAGATTGACACAGTGACTGTTGCAATGGGCTCTTGTGTGTCAGGAAGTGTGAGGATGGCACAGGATAGAACAGGGTTCAGATCTGTTGTTCATAGGGTCATAGGGTCTCTATGAGTCATACTCGACTCATGGCACCGAACAACAAGAAGAAGTGTAGGGGCCCAGTAATGGAAAGGGTCAAGGGTTTAGGGTTCCAGGCCTGGTTTCTGGGTGAGATGCCAGCTCTTCTGCCTCTCTGACTGAGCAGCCTTGGCCTCTGCTTCCCTTTCTGTGTAATGGGAACAAGAGCTGCATTTAGCTTGTGGGGCTGTTCAGAGAATTAAATAGGGAGGCAGGGAGAGTGCTGGGCCCATAACATGTAGTAAAATCCTCAGTAAGGTTAGCTGTTGTTAGTGTCAGGACATGCATCCCCGCCCTGGCCGTGACCCAGAGGCCACGTAGTGAAGAGGAGTCTGAAAGCCGTGAGAGAGGGGAGAGGGCATGAAGCCCTCTGGTGCCCTCACCTGTTGACTTGGTCTAAAGCCAGACAGGTGAGAGGCCGGGAGTTCAGGGGGCCAGCCACCACCTATACTGGGTGTGGGCCTGGAGATGTTGGCATTTTCACACTGTAGACGCCTGAGCAGATGTAACAGCTGGACCAGTAGAAGCGGGGTACATGCCACAGAAACCTTTCCTAGAAGGAGGGTGCAGCAGGCTTCTAGCTCACCTGAGCACAGGCCCCCAAACCCTCAGAGCACTGACCCTGCCTCTCTTGGGGCACTCCTCACGTCGGTATTAGGAAGTCTTCCACTCTGTTTTACTGATGAGGAAACAGAAGCCCAGGGGGCAAATGATTGATCCCAAGTCCGCACAGTGGAGGCAGAGCTGGGTTCAGCTCTCCTGCTCCCACCTGGGGCCCAGCTCCCTCTCCATCCCCCAGCTCCACAGTGGAAGGTGGGCTCTTCGAGAGCTGGGTCAGGTAGTTCTGGTGGGCTTCTGCGAGGAGTGAGTGAGTCTCAGTTGTCCTGGAGGAGAGGTCGTGGCCTGCACTTATTCAGCCCACCTGAGTGGCCTCCCCTGGGAAGCCCTCGAGCTGCCCTCAGCCAGCCGACATTCAACCAGGGAGATAGACAGGGACCAAGTAAAGTAAAACCTGGTGAGATTATGGCAGAGGGTCGGCAGTCCAGTGAGGAAGGCAAAACTGGGTGGTATGACAGGGAAACAGGAGTAAGTGAGGTGGCCTCTGTAACTGGTGGTTAACATGGGCTCTGAGGGGAGAAGGGACAGGAAGGTGTTGGGTACAGAGGTCCTGAGGTGGGAGTGAGCTCTGTGTGTTTACTCCAGGCAAGGTGCTGAGTGTTTAACCTGCCCTTTCCTTCCTCCACAGTCAAGCGCCAAGCCCCGGCCCGGCCGACCATGCTGCCCCCTCAAGTAGCCAGCACCCGCTCCTCCCCTCCAGCTCCACCCCCACCCCCCCCCCCACCCCCTGGCTCTGGCAGCCCTGTGACCCCCCAGGCTCTGCCCCGCCGGCTGGTCAGCAGCAGCCTCCGGGCCCCCACTGTGCCACCCCCGTTACCCCCTGTGCCCCCTCAGCCTGCCCGGCGCCCGAGTCGACGTTCGCCGGCCTCCCCAGGACCAGCCTCCCCCAGCCCAGGTTCCTCAAGTGTTCTCCCTCAGGGTGACTTGGAGGGAGGGACCCCTGTGGGAGGAGGGAAGGTCACCACTTCCCCACCAGTGCCCCCTCAGCCACGTCCCAGAAGCATCACCTCAGAGACTGACTGAGCTGGTGGCATCCCCACCCCCAGCCAACCCCTGGCACTCCCTTTTTCTCCCCACTTTGCCCTCCTAGGACCCAGCCCTCACCACTCCCAAGGGTGAGGGTCTTCAGCCTTTGCCTGCAAGTGCCTCAGTGTCCCCGCTGGGCCGGCCCCCATGGCGAGGAGGACTCAGGACATCCCCCCCCCCACTTCCAGACCTTCTCCTCTCCCACCCTGAGCTTGGGGGGCCCCACACCCAACTCAACTCCCCACTCTCTGGCAGGGTCGCAGGGGAGCGCCTGAAGGAAAGAGAGGCGTGCCTGTTCCTAACAGGACTTTATTTTTCTCTTGCTGATGTATTTTTTGTAAGGCTGGTAAATAAATTATTTTGGACAAAACTGGAGCAGCGGCCCAAATGATAGTTTTCTTTTCTGTCCTGGAAATAAAGAAGCCACTTTCATAATGAGGAAACGATTACTGATTCTTGGCCTCCTTTCTTTCCTTCTTTCTTTCTGCCTGGAATAACAGCAGCCAACATTCTTAGCACTTACTGTATATGCTGGCACAGTGGTTAGGCACTTAGCTGTCAACTGAAAGGCTGGCAGTTCGAGCCCCCCAGCAGCTGCACCGGGGGAAGTGGTGGGAATCTGCTTCCATAAAGATTTACAGCCTTGGAAACTACAAGCATCCTGTAGAATCTCTGTGCGTCTCTTGGTGCACTTGACAGCACTGGTTTTAGTTTTGAGATACATAGACATTATGTCTGCCTCATCTCCCTGTGAAGTAGGCACCATTGCCTCTTGTTCACACACAGGAGACAGAGAAAGAAGGAGCCTGTCAGGTCACATGGCATGGAGCTTGGGGTTGGGACCCGGTCTGACTAAATTCAAAGCCTGGCCTTAGTCCTTTTATCCCTTAGCCTCTCTCATCTGTGAGGCGACATAACAAATTCCACCCCACAATATTCTAAGAGTGGTGCAGATGCTGAAGAGCTTGACTAAGAGCTGAAAGGTTGGCAGTTGAAATCCCCCCAGAGGCACTGGCACCACCCTGGGCACAGCCATGCCTTCTAGAAGGTGGCAGTGGCTGTTATCTTCCCATCCTGCTGTGTGCTCTGCCTACAAATTCTGTGACTAGAGCTGCTCTGGGCCAGAACCTCGGGGACGTCCTTACCCCCACAAATCTGGAAACCAGCACACGGATCGACTTGACAATAGATGGGTCGACTTTGCAATAGAGTCCAGGGTCCTGACTGAACACCTGGGGGCTGGGCAGCCAACCCCAACTCTGTGTGTGTGAAGGGGGTGAAGTAGAGACCACGAAGGCTTCCTGGAGGAAGGAAAGAGCCTCTTTGAGAAGCTGAGTGAGTGCAAAGATTGCAGGATGACTGTTCAATGTGTGGGATGCCCAGGGCCAGGAACAATAAGCTTGGGACTTTGGGCACAGAAAGCAGCTGAATGTCAAAACCTGGGTAACAGTCATATCTTTCCCCAGGTCTTTTGTTCACCACTTGCTCCTGGGGTCAAATAGGTTTTCAGCAAGTTCTCGAAGGTTGGCGGACACCGTTAGATTGCAATCCTGTGGATCCCAGTTCACCTTCATTCCACACTTTAAACATTGTAAGATGAGGGAAACCCTCCTCCTCCAAGAGGGAGACTGTGTCAACAGCCTGGGACATTTGCTGCTGCGGCACCAGCTCCTTCCATCTCCTGGTGACAGCCTGCTGCTTGCCCAGGTCTGTCCTCAGAGTTGCTGTTAGGTGCTTTCAGGTCGAGTACGACTCAGCGACCCTTTGAGCAAAAAGATCTGAACCCTGTTCAGATGTCACAGTAGGAACCCTCATGTAATGAAAAACAAATGAGCCTGCCCCACACCCAAGAGAATGTAGAAATTACTGAACAATATCTGCAAGACACTTGACAGCACACAACAATCATTAATATCACATGCAAGTAGAGTCTTGATGAAGTGTTGGAAAATGATTGCAATAGTACATCCACAGGCAACTGCAAGACATTCAGACTGGATTAAGAAGAGAGGCTGTGGCACCAGAGGTATTACTGATGTGCGATGCATCTTGGCTGAAAGCAGAGAGTACCCGAAAAAGAAAAGAAAAAAAGTTTATCTGTGTTTTATCACTGTGCAAAGATATTTGACTGTGGATCATAATAAATTATAATATTGAGAAGAATGAAAATTCCAGAACACTTAATTGTCCTCATGTGAAACCTATACAAAGGGTAAGAAGCTGTTGTCAGAATAGAACAAAAGAACACTGCATGGTTTAAAATCAGGAAAGGTGTGAATCAGAATTCTATCCTTTCTCCAAACCTATCCAATCAGTATGCTGCTGAGGAAATCATTTGAGAAACTGGACTGTATAAACACGTATGTGGCATCAGGATTGGAAGAAAATTCAGCAATAACCTTCATTATACAGATGACATAACCTTGCTTGCAGACTTAAAAGGACTTGAAGCACTTACTGCAGAAGATCGAAGTAAAAAGTCTTCAGTATGGATTACATTTTCAAGAAAACAAAAATCCTCACCACTGGACCCATAGATAACATCAATATAGATAGAAGATTGAGGTTGCCAGTAATTACATTTTTAATTTTTTTTGGATCTACAATCAACAGCCATGGTAATAGTAGACAAGAAATCAAAAGACATATTGCACTGGGAAAATCTGATGTCAAGGATCTCATAAAAGAGAAAGGAGTGGAGTTGGACCTTCTATCGAAAATGACCACTGAACAAGTAGCCAGCTCTTTTACCTGCCTCATGGCCAACCAATGCAGACCACAGACGGATTCTCTATCCTAGATGGCTCTTAAGCATCTCATCTAACTTCCAAAGACCCGAGATGTCAGTTCAAAGACTAAAGTGTGCCTGTTGCAAACATGGTATTTTCAATTGCTTTCTATGCATCTGAAAGTTGGACAATGAATAAGGGTAACAGAAGAATTGATGTCTTTGAATTGTGGTTTTGGAGAAGAGTACTGCACATTCCATGGACTGTCAAAAGAAAAACAAGTCTGTGTTGGAGAAAGTGCAACCAGGGTGCTCCTTAGCTGCAAAGATGGTGAAAGTTGTCAGGAGGTGCCAGTACTTGGAAAAAACAAACACACTTTGCAAGGTGGAGGATTAAGGGAAGAGAGGGAAAGAAAGCTTCAACAAGATACATCGGCACAATGTAACAGTGGACTGCAGCATATCAGAGATAATAATAAGGATGGCACAGAATAGAGCAAGGTTCAGCTCTTGTTTATAGGGTCGCTGTGAGGTAGTCTACTCCATGGCATCTAACTACACAACCACCTTCTTCAGAAACATGTCTTTTTCGTCCATATCATGCCCCTGGAAATAATTGCACGAGTGGCTTGTTTAAGGGGGTTTATTGGTGCAAAATCCAGTAAATCCTAATCTCTGGACTCTGGATTTGGTATTTTAAAAAGTCATTTGTCAAAAGCCATTGGGCTGTACACTTGAGATCTAGCATCTTGCTAATGTATCTCTCTCTCTCTATCTCTATCATCTATCTCTCTTTCCCTTTCCCTACCTCTATCTCTATCTCTATCTCTATCTCTATCTATCTCATCTCTGTATCTCTATATCCACTTCCGTAATAGCTTGCCTCCGGAAAACCTGGAGAGAGGATGAGAGACACCCAAGCGTTAAAGACTTTCCTTCATAGGGTCGCTATGAGTCGCCTGCGACTGGACGGCACTTAACAAGTATATATCTATCATCTATCTCTCTATCTCTCTATCTATCAAATTTAAGTTGCCCAGGGGATTCTATTGTACAGAAAGCACTGGTCTACTCCAAGGGCTCCAGCTCCCAAACTGACATCAGGCTCCTCTCTTTTCACCACACCCTCACTGCTTCCCAGGCAGTGAGGATCTCTCATGACTGCAGCGTCTACGGTTCAGAGGGCAATGAAATTTTACCCAAAGGCAGCATCTCCCTTAGCATCTACTTTCCCCCCCTAGCAACCGGCTCCTCTACGCTTCTGACTGGCTGGGGGACAGGCTAGACGGGCTGCATTTTCTATTCGTAGTTTCTTATTGGTTGAGAGGAGCAGAAGTCTCCCAGCCTCCCACCCTGTGAGAGGTTAGTTGTAAGAGGTTGACAGCCATCCAGGATAGAGAGAGAGAGAATCGGTCTGTCTGGGTAGTGACTGGCCCAGCCCAGCTAAGAGGCGGGCCAAGAGAGCAGACTAGTTGTTCATTGGTTACCTTCGTTAGCAGGCGCGACTCCGCTCTTTTCTCCGGGGCTTCGTTTGCTCGCGGCCCGGTTCCTCTCCCCAGCGTTCGCCTCCATTGGCCGCAGGCCAGGCCGTGGCCCCGCCTCCCAAGCTGTCCTGCACTCCGATTGGCAGCCTCGGGGAGGCGAGCGCGCGGCTGGTGAGCGCGCTGCGCCCGCCGCGGGAGAGTGGCACGGTGCGGGCGTGCAGGCGGCCGGCCGGCTGCATGGCGCGCTGTGAGCGGTTACGCGGCGCGGCCCTGCGCGACGTGCTGGGCCGGGCGCAGGGGGTCCTGTTTGACTGCGACGGCGTGCTGTGGAACGGCGAGTGCGTCGTGGCCGGCGCCCCGGAGCTGCTGGAGCGGCTGGCGCGGGCCGAGAAGGAGGCGCTATTCGTGAGCAACAACAGCCGGCGCGCGCGGCCCGAGCTGGCCCTGCGCTTCGCGCGCCTCGGCTTCAGGGGGCTGCGCGCTGAGCAGCTCTTCAGCTCCGCGCTGTGCGCCGCGCGCCTGCTGCGCCAGCGCCTGTGCGCCGCGCCCGGCGCCGTGTTCGTGCTTGGCGGCGAGGGGCTGCGAGCCGAGCTGCGCGCCGCGGGGCTGCGCGTGGCCGGGGACCCCGGCGAGGACCCGCGCGTGCGCGCCGTGCTAGTGGGCTACGACGAGCACTTCTCCTTTGCCAAGCTGAGCGAGGCGTGCGCGCACCTGCGTGACCCCGACTGCCTGCTCGTGGCCACTGACCGCGACCCGTGGCACCCGCTCAGTGATGGCAGCCGAACCCCCGGTGAGCACGGGGCCCCGCCGTGAACCTAAGACGTGGGTGGAAGGAAGTGTGCCTTGCGCTTTAACTTCCACCTCTGGGGAAGTAGGAGAGATGGGCAATGGGCATCTGTAGGTGACAGTGACCAGAGATTCGAGGGGGGGCTCCTTCCTTACAGCCCCTTGAGAGACAGAGCTGGAGTAGCCATATGACAGATCAGGAAAATGCTCGGGCCCCTTGTGGAGGCTCAACGGGCTAGTCTAGCTCTCTGGACAGCTCTCAGGGATACCCGTCATTTTGCCCCACCCACATGGGAATGAGGTTGAAGGGTTGGCGACCTAGTCTGGTTGCCCCCTGTGTGAGGATTAGAACCCCTTCCTCGTCAGAGGACGTTGGTTTGTGAGGCTCATGGGAGGTGGAGTTTGACCTGGGTTCAAGTTCCAGCTCCGCTTAATTTGTTACATTACATAACCTCTCCAAACATCTCCATCCTGGGTGCACTATGGGAGGCCTAACCATGCCAGTCTGGTCGGAGGAAGAGTGACACCTAGTTGGTACCCAGATGTAAGTTACAACCAGAGCCATGCCCTGCTTCAAATCTTCATAAGGCGCGTTGATGGCTGTCATTCTTATTTCCGGCTAGCCCTGTAGATGGAGGTATTCCCATTTTTCAGTTTCAGAAATTGAGGCTAAGACAGGAAAAACGAGCCAGCTCTATGGAGTCTGTGTCAGAGCTCAGGAACTTGAACTTGACTCTTGCAACCCCTTGGTCAGCAGGCTTATTCACTGCAGCTTTCTGTGTGGGTGATGAGCCCTGCAGAGGCGACAGTGGCAGCCAGTGACCCCTGTACATTGAAGGCGGAAGTTTGGCTAGCTCAGCAGTGAGTGGGTGGGGACAGTCACTAGGCTGGTCTCCATCACACATCCCCCTGCTGGCTTTGCCCCAGATGGTCATCAGTGCCAGATGCTGGGAGGCAGGGTCGTCCAGAGTGAGGAGGGATGGACCTTGTGTTAGAATGGGGAGGTGGGAGGACTGCCTGGAGGGGGTGTCTTGCAAGACAAAGAGCAAAGATGCTGAGCCTGGAACAGTATGTGGATTTTGATAGACTCAGTAGCAGGCTAGGAATCGATAGTTCTAGACCGGTTCTCACTCTGCCACAGACCACCTCAAGCCAGTTGCCATGGAGTCGATTTGTGTATCAGAGTCACGCTGCACTCCATAGGGTTTCCAGTGGCTGATTTTGGGGCAGTAGGTTGCCAGGCCTTTCTTCAGAGGTGCCCTGGGGTGTATTCAAACCACTAACCTTTTGGTTGAATTGCTTTCTACCTTGGCGTCAGCCCTCCATAAACCCAAACTAAGGACTCTGGTCAGGGCTCCGTTGCAGCAGCTCCTGGCTGCCCTGGGTCTTTCTTTGAGTAGTGATTCCCCCACACATACACCCAGGAGGCCTGAAAGCTTAAGCTAAGGCTGTGAGCTTGAGGGTCCCCCTCCCCCAGTCTCAGGAAGTGTGGTGTTGAGCTGGGGTGAGCCCGAGGTCTGTCACAGTCCTTCACTTGAACTCAGGCCCCTTGAGTAAGCACTTGCCTGGCTGTGGTTCTAACCCTGCTGGTCACTCCCACAGCCTAAAGGGGGAGGCAGAGGCTTAACAAACAGCACTGCCAATGCGTTTATGCACAGCTAAATGACACAGCTTTGAATGTGCGGCATTAAAAAAAA